AGCTTTGTACTGATAACGTGTTATATAATATTGGTAAGGGGTTTATTTTATATTTATTATAACTATATTTGTTTGGTGAAGAAGAAAACGTGAGTGGGAGAAAAACATTTATAAACTTGATATTTTTTTGCTGTTATTATTCTACTACAAATGATCGTGAGTTGATCATATATAGAGGGATGAGTCGGTCAAATTTAACTGACTTACTAGAGAAGGACAAAACCAAAAAGATAAACATTATTTTTAAAATAGATAATCACTAACATTATCTTTAACACAAAGGTGTTTATATTTTGGTTTTAACAAACAGATCATGTGGTTGATTAAAAGAATAAAGAACAAACAAACGTGTGCATATATTCTATATGCACGTCCAAAAAAACAAAACAAGAGTTAATTTTCGCGAAGTAGTTGTATTATAAACTAAAAAATTATAAAAAAAAATCAATTTATCTAATCCCAGTAGTTATTAAAAAAAATTATTCAAATGATATTCGCGCACTGTATCTAGTTTTGCATTTATAAACAAGTTTTAGATTATATTTGGCAAATCTCCTTTCTTTTGTTTGGAAATTTTCTGAATATTAACAAGTATTGTGTTAACTGATCTGAAACTCAAAAAAAAATTATTTGCCAAAACATAATTTTTCAATCATCTAAAATAGAAAAATATTTTTAAATCTCAAAATATTATATATCCATTTTATTTAATTTATTAGATTTTGAATGTAATTTTTATTTATTAGATTTATAAATAAAGTTTTAAAATATTCAATTTTTAAGAAGATAACTAGCAATATTCATTTTATATAAATTAGTTTAAATTTATTCAATATTTTAGACTGCTTTTTTATCCCATTTCACCATTTTAATATATATATTTTAAACTACTAGACATGCTTTATTCACTTGTTCCGCTTAATTCACTATGTTTGATCCGTTTTTGTTTTGCATTCATAGTTTGAAGCAAATCATGATCCACCCAGGTTTCTTGTTTTTCCTTTACAAAAAAGGAACAACAAGCGGTTTAACATTTTAGTGATTATAGTTTTATTAGACTATAGTTTTATTGGGAAAGTACAAAAAGCATATCTCTCATTCAGATGATCTGTCCACTTAAATTTTTATTCACACATCTTATATATTAAAACTAAAGTTATAACTTTGATTCATGTGTGACTTTTAAAAAAATGGGCCATTAATAAAACTTTTATTATATGTATTTCATTAAAACTAATAATATATAAAATCATTAAAATAATTTAATCATAATATATTTTAATATCTTTTCATTTTAAATATAAATAGATTTCTGTAAATTCTAAAAAATCTGTTTTAAAAGATTTTTATAAGGTCTTCATTTTCGATATATCTTTAAATATTTTCACTAATTTTGAAATTAATTTAAAATATTATTATACAATAATATATTTATTTAAGTTTATAAAATAAAAATAAAAAATAATATCATATTATCTGTTATATAATCATAATCAATTATTAAAATAAAATTATTATATTAAGCTAAATATAATAAAATTGTATTATTTATATATTTATTTTCGTAAGTACAAACTATTTATGTTCAAAAATAAAATCTAATATGTTGGTAAGACGGGTTAACATTAGCAAACTATATAATACTTGTATATAAATTAACATGTATTTCATTAAAGGTAATAATATAAAATTTTATAACTACTTTAATCGTGATATCTATTCATTTTAAACATAAATATATATTTATATATTAAATTTTAAAAAATTCTAATAAATCTGTGTAAAAATATTTTACAATAAGATAATGTATTTTATGTTATCGTTATAAAATAAAAATTTAAATTATATCCTATTTGATATATCATAGTCATAATAATCATGTTAAAATCCAATTATTATATTGAACTAAATATGATAAAAATATATTAAATTTATAAACTTTATTTTCATAAATATAAACTATTTACTTTAAAAATATAATATGATGACAGAGTGGCTTAAAATTAACAAACTATATAACAAAACTATATAACACATGTCTAAAAATTAACATATCTTAGACTTTTGTATATACAATAATATATTATATAAAACGAATAAACATAAAAATATTGGTTAAAAGAAAATCCAGCTTTGAAGACCAGATCATAATTTACCATAAATTAAATATAAAATAATTTTTAAATATGTTTTATAATACATTAATTTGCTTAATAACTAAATGCAAATACAATAAGATAAATATATAATAAGAAGTGAGAAATACATATGATTTTTTTAACAGTTGATTAATATAACATGTATATTATAAAATTATTGTATTTTAAATAGTTATATAAACATTTAAGTATATGAATAATGTTAAAAATATATACCACTTATGTTCTAAAAAATTATGTATGTAAATAAAAGTGAAAATAAACATCTGCGCGGTTGCGCGGATCAAAATCTAGTCTACTATATTAAAATATAGTCCTATTTGAAATTTACCTTGGCATATTTTAATTTGGGACCTATTGGATAAGTTGTGACTACATATAAAAACTCATTCATATACATTTTTATATGGTAACTGATATACTAAATTAAACCAACCTACAATTATACCATTATATACATGATTTCTCTTCTATGTATGTTGTTCATTGATTCAATAGATTTGCATATATTCCTTCATTCCTTAAATTTGTTTTTAGCCAAATCATGTGGTCTGAAATAGTTTTATGGGGATTAGTTACTGGTTTGGACATTAATTTGAGTGACTCCTCTTTTGGGTATTTGTTCATTTCAGTTTTAGCAATGAGAGACTGGCTAATATTCTCTTCGACAAATACTTTTCAAATATAGGTTCTCATAGTAAGAGTAGGAGAGATAGACAAGGGCAACACACCATCGGTCACGTGATGAGTCTTCTGATAGCTATGGTGGAGAGAAGAGTAAGAAGAGAACTTCGTTTAAGAAGCCCTCAGAGGAAAAAGTCTTGGAGTATATTGCTAAAAAGGCCCATAAGAAGCTATTTCATTTTGTCATATGTTAATTGGTTTTGGTTCTTTGTTGTGTGATAAACCATTTGTATGTGTAGGAGTTTGTTGCTAATTTATGCTATTTGTTAAATTCTTTGTAGGCATTACGTGCATCAGTGTCTGGGTACTAAAATGATTCCAGTTCACTTGAAGATTAAAATCAGTGAGACATAAATAACTATTAAGAAAATGGAGATGATTTTTTTTTCTGATTTTTATTGGTATAATAACATAGAGAAAGTGGGTTAGGAGGATTATAGAGTTAAGTTCCTTCCTATCAATTGGTTCGAAATTCTAACTAACTTATTTGAAAATAACATTTACTTGTTTATTAAGATTATTTTACAGAGTCAAACTATAATATTTTGAAAAAGTTTGAAATTCAAACTAACATATAGCTTATTGTTGTGCATCAAATATATGATATTTAATTCAGATATTTAAACACGGTACGGGTACAACCATTTACATTGATATTATAAAAACGTTAGAAAAACATAACAACTTTGAGAACATTCTAAATCATTATAAGAAATATATAACAACTTTGAATTATTAAGTTTAATTAATATAAGATCAAAGAAAAAAAAATATCTCATGCTTGTAAGCAAATATCAAAATCTTAATTTTTTTTTTATAATTACATAATCATACTTACTTTTATCATTAGCCTCCAATTCTACAAACATCTGTTTTCAAAAATTAGAAATCGTAAGAGACAAATTTAAAAGCTTGATCACATCCAACAAAAAAGGAGATGAAGAAATTCAAAGTCAGATTTTTAAATAAAACAAGGTTAGAAAGTGGTTATGAAAATTTAATTGTTTATACACGTATATTAATGCTTCATTCGACCGATAACCCTAAAATATTTGTAGAAATTCAAATACACAACTCATCGAATATTCATCATGCTTTAATATTTGCAAATTCAATAAAATGAAATAAAGTGAAATAAATAAGGTTGCGCGGGTCAGAATCTATTATGTTAGTAAATCAAGCATACAAACAGTAAAAGTGGGAGACTCTAAGGTAATGAATGGTAACGGCAGTATTTACAATAGTGGTACGGTATTTGTGGGTCCTACAACTTTGTTACCAATCACAATATTTGACAATACTACACAACTGCGGGACGGTTTTATGGTAGAATACGCACTTGGCAAAACCTTTTTTTTTGTTTGGTCTATCCTTTATATATTTCAAGGGCCGAACGCAAATTTTAAATTTTAATAATTTTTTAATTTTATTTTAGTTATAATTTGAACTTTTTTTACTACAAATTTTACAATTTCTTATTTTTTTTAGAAATTATATATTTGTTACTATATTAAAAAAAATTCATAAAAATATAAGTATTTTAACTTTTTCACAACATCTACTTTTCTTGAATTTAATAGATTTTAATACATTTCTTCTTAATTTATAATTTTAAAAGTTTGAAAAAGAAAATCTAATTTATTATCTTAAAAAAAATTAAACACGTAACTTTGAAATATAATATTGATTTTTACGGTTTAATATTTATAAAAAACATGTTGGGTTATATATTTATGATTTATTATATATGTAAATATATTTTTGTTTTTTATGTGTCTTAAAAATTCATATCAACAAAAATTTTAAAATAGTGAATCCCGCAATTTTTTTTGTTTTTTTATCACCAAAATTTAGGCTAAACCAAAAAATAATAGAAAACCACAACTATTTGATGTATTGTTAGCTATAGAGATTATTTATGGAGCATTTGAATAATTGTTAAGATATATGGTTCAAATGTTAAAATAACTTTGGAAGAGCTTTTACAAATGATTGAAATAACATTGTATTTCTTATATTCTTTTTGATGACATGGCAGTATAAATGGAGAGAAAAACTTTCTTTATTTAATAAGATTAGGGATTGTTAACTCCATGCTTTGTGTGTTTTTCATGTTTTGAGTAATACTGATTTCCAAAAACATGAATAAATATACTTGATTTCCAAACTCTTTAAGTAGCACATATCTTTTTGCAATTGTACTTGATCATGAACTGGGGAGAAAGAGAGATCATTTCGATAACATGGCATGGAAATGATCCTCATGTGCTTTCTTTTCCTAATGTTATTTGACTTCCACCACTAAAAAATAGGTGTTTTAATCATATGCAAATCCCCTCAAAATAATAGACATTCTCTTATTTTTGTCACATTTCTTAAAGAATTACAATCTTCAAGCTTTTATACACTTAATGAATGTTATTTGGAGTGAAAAAATGTAAATATACACAACATTTTGTCCTCAGATTCTTTGAGTAGTGCTGCTTGAAATAAAAGGTATGGTGATCTTAGTGGTTTGTGATTATTCTTGGTATCTAGGAAACCCATACTTTCCTCAGATCAGAGCGACACTTAGCTCATTCTTCTTGTTTGCTTCAAGTGAGTTATTATCTTTTGCTAATGCTTTTTCTTCTTCAATCTGTTTGATCCATATATTTAGGTTTGCAGAAAACACTTACATATTCATTAAATAAATGAAACACAAACCTGATTTTTTTTTTTCAGTTCAAAATTGCTATTGAAACCGGCTAATAAGGATGGCACAATACACCTCTTGTAATTACTTGATTTGCATCAGTCCCTTGCAACGCTATTGCTATGTTATCTCTAGCTCTCACAATGGCTCAACCCTGAAAGCCAAGCTCTAGGGACCGCATGGTTCCTTGATCTCCTATAGCATAATCATTATCTATCAAAAAGTTTCAGTAATGTAAGCCATCAGCTGAAGCAGTCTATTTCCTTAAAAAACATACTAAAGGCAAATCTATAAGGAAATTTTTTTTTACTGCTAATGGCCAAAAAGAACTTAGAAACGTTCCATAACACCCAAATATAACGTATACACGGACTAAGTTCTGTACGTTGGATCCTGACAAAACAGCTTCAGTTTCAGGTTTATCAGATGCAGATACCTTATCTTGTGAAGTTGATCTTACAAAGTCACGTATAGGTATGGGCAGAGGCTTCGAGACGTCTCTATCAGGAAGCTTGTTAGAGAGTCCACTGCATCCAATAAACATGGACCTTGATACCTGTATTTAAGCAAAAATTAAACTATGACATGGACTGCTTCAGATTTGCTAAGCAATTCATCCGCTAACTACACCAGAAATGCAAGGTTAGGTATCAGGAAATAGAAACAGGAGCAACCTACCATGAGGATATGTGTCTCTCAGAGGGAGCTGAAACCAAGCTTTGGTTTTCCATGGCAATTTTAATGGAATCCATGTCAGCTTCTTTAAAGTGACAGGAATGCAGAAAAGATCCAGTATGCTTAATCAAACCAAATATGTCTGTCAACTACGCAACAATATCCATTTTGTTGACTGTGACTATGACTTGCTCCACACCAAAACCTCTCAAAGTCAGGCACTTAGAGAACATGAAAGGGTTCCACCATAAAAAGCTAATGATTTTAACCGTACACCACACGACCACTCTATAGCAAATACAAATCCAAGGATATACAAAGCCAAACACTTTGAGAACATGAAAAGGTTCCACCATTAAAACCTAATGACTTTCAAAAACAAAACTCATTTTGAACAGAGCAATCAAACAATATTGATAAACAAATTAAAACAAAAAGTTGTTCACTTCAGTAGAATACTCTGAAACACTTGAAAATTGTCTTACACTAACTTTTAAGTGAATCAAATGGTAAACAAAGCAAAGCACCTTGGCACATGAAAGGTTTCAATCATACGAAGCTAATGGCTTTCAAAAAGCCAAAACGGGTTCCATCGTAAGAAATGTAACCTTTCATGTTCTTAAGCAAAATGATATTTAGCAACAATCAAATATCAGATACTCTATGATATACTTCAGTCATAAGTCCATAAAGTCATCTCATTTTATAAAAATGTAAAAAGAGAAGTGGAGAACAAACCAGTTCCTGCAGTGTTGGCCTGCCTATACTTCTTCTCCTCCAATCTCCAGCAGCGAAGACACCAACAACGGTTGTCTTAATACTACCAGGCTTGATCACTACATAACCATCTTCATCAAGCTCAAGCTTCCCATCTAAAAACTTCATTGCTGGCCCATGACCAATGACAAAGAACAATCCAGACACTTGAGATCCGACACATCTTCAGTAACAACATTCTTCACCTTCAAACCTCCAAGAACGCATTTCACATTCTCGTCTCCATATGCCTCCACCACCAAGGAGTTCCAAATCATTTCAACAATAGGGTTCAAAAACGCTCTCTGCTGCATGATCTTAGACACCCTAAATGTATCTCTCATGTGGATTATGTAAACCTTAGATCCATACTTGCTGAGGAAGTTCCACCAGAGGTTTGTTCCTGAAAGTCGGAGGAGCGCCGTCGCATAAAGCACATGCCGAGATCTTGCGGTTCCAGAAATCACCAGCACCTTCACCAGATCAAGTGAAGCTTAATCGTTTCGCGACAGCTTAGGTGGAAATAATCATGGCGTCAGCGAGCACGGTTCTCGGATTGGTGAAGAGTTTAAACGGCTTCGAGGAGAAATCAACCTTGTTAACCTTCTCCGTGAAGATCTTGGTACCGAATCGCTCCGACTACTTCTGGAAATTCTCGACGATGTCGATGCCGAGGATACCCTTCCGGGAAGCCAGGGAAGTTCTCGACGTTGGTGACGGTTGTTAACTGACCGCCGGGAGCGATGGCGTTAGCCATCCATCCTTCGAAAAGAAGAGGCTTAAGCTCAGTCCTGCTTGCGTAAATCGCTGCTGTGTGTGTAGCTGAACCGATTCCGATGATGCAGATCTTGGTTTTGTGAGTTTCCATGACGGCGGAAGATGACAAAGAATCGTTGTGGCTAAAGGCGGCGGGTATGAAGCAGATTCGAGATGTGAGAGAGAGATGCAGACCTTAGATCTTGTTGAGAACGTGAGGGAGATGAAGAGATCACTTGCTTTCTAAAAAAAAAGCTTAATGAAACACAGAATTTTAGTTGATTGGACACGTGATCAAAAGCTTTCCTACTTGAACTTGTTTAGTTGGCGGATGAGGTGACATTCTTGAGAGGGAGAGAAATACAAAATTATATACTCCCTTTCATTTTAATTGTCATTCTATATTTTTACACACAGATTAAGGAAACATTTAATTTTACATATTTTCGAGATAAAAACACAATTACCTATACACCTAACCACTTTTCAACCAATAGAAAAATAGAATATCATATAAAACTAATAAATTTTGTCTCGAAACTCTAAAACGACACTTATTTTGAAACGAAATTTTTTCTCTAGAATGACAATTATTTCAAAACGGAGGGAGTAATAGATTTGAGGAGCATTATAAATAAATAACCTTACATTTATGTGTGATTAACAAAATTGTCATTATTTATGTGGTAAACTCACAAGTCCTCTCAGCCCATTTATTAAAATTAGACATAATTTACTAGAGTATTTACAATTCAATACGATTGGACCTATGTTTATTTATGATGAAATGTCACACCATGTTATTAATAACTTGATTATAAAATCAAACCATTAAATTGTCATTTAAATATTGAAATACATAAGTGTGTGAACTATGAGAAACCGTATACATATAAATTATTTTAATTAATAATTATATATAATACATAATAATACATTTTAAATATCACTCACAAAAAACGACTTGTGAACGGTGTCTCCACATTTTTATTAACCAAATTTATCTACTGTTTTGCGTAACAGAGGAGCTAAGTTTGCTGAAAATTTAACCTCACTCTAGTATGAATATACACATTTTCATATAGATGTTCATGCCAATATCCAAATGAACTACTTCATTCATTCATAGATCGCAATCCATCATATAAACAACCACATAACATTTTAGGTTCTTCATTTTAATATAGATGTTCATATAAAATTTGGTTGAAGTCTTAACATGTTACATCTGTATTCAAATATTCATACGTAATAGTCACACATCATAAAAAATACTAATGTTACGGTTATGGTTAGTCTCTGATTATTCCGTTTAATGTTGACGATTTTAAAATTTAAAGGAATAAGTGATGCAATAAAGGAATGTAGCAAAGAGTGTTAAATGCATAAAAAAGTCAAAGTGATGTCAAAAAGGTCAACTTCAATCAAGTAATTAATGTTGAGTAAATTTGAATTATTCAAAATTTTCATTGATTATAGGAACAATTACGGGGAAAATTAAAAAAAAACAAATCAATTTAACAAAATATGCCAAATATTTTAAAATTAAATATTTGCACTTATTGTGATAATCATCATGTTTAAAAATCAAATATATTTTTTCTTGAGTATATCAAATAAGCCAATTTAATTTTGTTAACTATATCATATAACTTGAAAATAAAAATTATAAAATTTCTTGAGTATATTTTAGGTATATATATCAAAGTTTATCATAGGTCATCGTTTAAAAGATTACAAAGAAAAAAGTATGTGACCACATACGATACTATAAGTTAGCTTTCCCAAAAATAAATAATAATACGTAAATAATTTTTATATACAATCTTCATTCCATGCAATGCACAAAATTATTAAAAATAGTTTAGATTAATAAAAAATATGTAAAACCTATGCTAATTTTAATAAAACTTTTTTTTTTTTGCTTTTTAATAAAATTTATTAGTAAGAAAATATCTTTCCCCCAGCAAAATATTAAATTTAAATATTTAATATTATAGGAAATTTCATGCAATAATTACATAATTAAAGGAAAAAATATCTTATTTCATGAAAATGTAATTTAATATATATAAAATATGATAATAATTCAAAAATATGTTTCACTGCGCGAAGACGCGGGTTATCACCTAATTTTTATTAAACAATGCACTTCTTTATTCTCTCTCCAATTTTGATGCGGTCCATATGCGTTTATATTTTATATTAGTTATTATTATTATTTAATACACATTAATGTATACTGTTGCAATATTAAAATTCTGAATATTAACATTCTAGCAAAATATCAATAATATTAGTGTTTGGTTGAATGTTACGTACTAATAATATCAATATAGTTATAGTTTAGCTATGGATTTCATATGTTACGTACGTACTAATAGTATCAATATAGTAACAAGAATAAATATATTATAATTTATTTTAAATTAGTTTTAGTTTTTAAAATTATATTTAAAAATAAAATTATTATGAAATTATCAGTAAGTAAACACATTTAGTTCATAATTCTATTAAAATATTATCTTTATATTATTTTTAACAAAACAGTAATATATTTTTATCAAAACCGTAATATATTTTTCATCAAAACGGTAATACATTTTTATCAAAACCACAATACCTTTTTAATCAAAACCACATTAATTTTTCAATAAAAACCGCACTATCCCGCAAAATTGATTTTAATATTTAAAATTATAGAAAATATTATAACATTATTACTAAGCAAAACATGTTTAATCTTAGTTATATTATATTTATTTTACATTACTTTGTAATAAAATTTCACTGTTTTCTCAATCAAAAATAGATTACTTTTTTAATAAAAAAAAGTTGATCGTCTACCGGTGACTTGTTCTTCTATTTAGTTACAGTTTTGTTTTAAATGTTAAGATATTATTATCAAGAAAATCCAATTCTTATTGTATTAGTATATTTCTATTACATTTTCGATTAAACGTATTACTTTTTTATCAACACTGCACAACTTTTTTTTAATCAAAATAGCATTACTTTTTTTTATGAAATCTGCACTTGTACCGCAAATCACACAAACCGCAGTTGCACCGTATCGCACTTTAATTTTGCACCGTTTATATTATCAAAACTGCGGTCACCATTCGGACCCTAAATGAAATTAAAAATAACATGCAAATTTGATACACAAGTGGTATTCCACTTCCACTACGAATAAGGAGTGGACAAAATGGATAAAAAGACATAAATTTTATTTATTTTTGTAAATTCTGATATATATTATATTAATAATCATAATTAATCATATAATTTACTTAAAGTTATCTCATTTTTAATAGTTTGTGGAATGATTCTTTTTAGAATATCTTTAATTATTATTATATTTGAATAAAGAATATTTATATTTATTGCACTTTTAATCTATTATTTAAAAAAATAATTGTAATTATCTAAAATAAATAGTAATGTAACAATTTTATGTTTTTTTTGTCCTCATAACAATTTTATGTAAATATATTTAAATATAATTTGACCGTTCTATTCACTTTTAGTGAGATGAGAAAACTGAGTTTCTAAGATTTCTGTACTTCTCTTCACCTCTTCCTCTCGTACTCAACTTCTTTCTGATAACATAACCATATTCCTTCAGAAAATCATATGATCATAGAGCAAAAGATCATCCTGACAGTGATCATAGATTTTTACTTGACTCACTCAAGCAATCAACAAGACAGTGCCAGACATCAATCAACTCAATACAAACCATAAAATATAAACTAAATGACACATGAGAAAAACTAAATGAATTCCCACAGTAAGTTCCACTAGAGTTAAAAATAGAGTTTCCATAAGCAACGACAGCCATTAATTGTATAAAACCCAACCAAGTCATAACTAGCCACAACAAAGAGAACCCACAACAAAGAATCAAAGCTTTCTCTGATAACAATTAAAATAGGAGAGCACCCACAACAAAGCTCTATGACACAATCTAACAAAACGAAAAACTCTGAAAAAAAGTTAAAACACACAACCAAAGCCATAAGACAAAGCTTCTCTATAAACAAGCTTATCAACAAGCGTCAACAACGTCTCCATATAAATACATCGCAACTCAAAAGACTTAAATACAACTCATATACAGAGACCATCAAAGCAATAAACAGATAAAGCTCAATACGGAAGCTACAGAAGTTAACTGTGTACTGGAAGCTATGGAAGTTCAAAATCATCATAGAACTCAAGAACCCATATACCAATCAAAAGTAATACAGATAAAACTCAATACAATCCAAAATAAAACGCGAGCAGATCAGATCCATAAAGCTCAATCAGATTAAACTCAGGAAAATCAGTGACCCAAAGGCCAAATTGAAGAAAAATAATTTCTAACTCACAAGAAAGATGAAATTGATGGTCGTGATCGATGACCCAGAAGGTGTGATCGATGAAAAGAGATAAAAAAAAAAGAGCTCAAAGAATCTCTCATGAGAGAAGAAAAAAAAGAGAGAGAAAGAGAGATTAAAACCTTGAAAACAATAAGATTATGTGGAAAAAATTGGATTGGATTGGATAATATAAACCCATTTTGATCCAAACCAATACTAATCCAACTCACTAAATCCATTAATCCAAAAAAACCATTAATCCATTAACACCCAAATTGTTAATCCATTAAGACCATGGATTGGTTTGGTTTGGATGAATCCAATAATTATTACCCATTTTGACATTTCTAACTTTTACCATTCAAACTTTGATAAACCTGAACTAAATTCGATCCCCAAAAGATTATTGGCATAAGAAATGACCAATAGACATAGCTAATACTCTATTTTATTGAGGTAGAAAACTCAGTTCTTCTAGCCGCTTGTAAGTTATTGGCTCCTTCGTTAATTGATTTTTTTTTTTGGTTGTGCTTCTCCTCAATACATTTTTAACGGATAAAAGGTGCGTTAAAATTTAGATAATACCATTATTCATATTTATCTTCTTTAAATGAACACTAGATTTTGATCCGCGCACCCGCGCGGATGTATGTTCGATGAAATACAATTTTGTTCTTGTTTACATCAAAGTTTATATTCAATAGTTTTTGGGGTTATTGACTTTATATGTAGAACAAAATAATAT